AATTTACACTTCTCAAAAGTGGAAAGAGTTTTTTTTTTTTTCCGAATAAAATATTACAATAAATCTCAATAAATTATAATTATAGTGATGAAGATCAAATACAACATATAATTAATACAAAGAAACTCTCAAAGTGAGAGAAAAAGTTCCAATAAAATGCATGAAAAATAAGAGTAACATGCAAGTGAGGAGATTGAAATAAGAGGAGCTAATCACTTTATGTTATGTTCTTATGTTCAATGGTATTTTATCTTCCCTCAAAAAAAATAAAATAAAATAAATAAATAATTAAAAAGAAAGTAAAAGAAAGGTTTCAATCTTTAGTTTAAGAGTTTTGTTAACGACTTGGCTGCCTTCTGCACTTTCCCTCTCAAGCACTCTCAAAGTGTTTAGGCATTTGTTATTATTTCAAGTACCTATGAACCATGTTTTCTTAATCGGTAGTAATACATGTACTAATTAGTGTACTAACTAGTGTACCATCACTAGTTATGATATTATTATTGATCTCGCTTATTATACAAATTACAAATATCAAAAACATCTTAAATTAGTCAGATCATCAATTGGTACACTAATTAGCACACTAATTGGCGCATATAGTATTATTCTTTCTTAATTTAAGTGATGTGTTTGTAATTAGCAACGTCTTAGTTTTTAAACCCAAGTTCTGAAATCTGAATTATTGACCAAACCAACAAAAAAAGAAAATTAAAAAAACCCTGAGTCAAAAGTGATTAATTCAATCGTGGAGCCAGCCGAAATTAAATTGTAGTACTGAGGAAGCGAAATACCATAAGACATTTTTATTCACTCTAGTTTTACAATGCTAGCAAGTCATACTACTGCTGAAGTCCTGAAACAGAAAATGTGACTCGTTCTAGATCTTTGATAGTTAGGTATTCAACTCAATTATTTTGCAGTAGACAACATATGACTTCGTTTTTTTTCTTTTTCTTTTTAAATTGGAAAATACAATTTCATTAGCTAAGAGAAAAACATAATGCATCATTGACTTCTTCCTTTGACCGGGCTTTTTGTTGATTGACTAAACCCGGACTTCTTTTCCAATCCAAGCAACCTACATGATGAAGTAGTCATCCAGTTCCTTCTCTCATACGCTTTTTCACGATTCACCTGCCGTGAAGCAGCTCTCTAATATCCTTATTGCTCGAGTGAGGTTTCTGCTATGCTACGAGGGGCTAGAAGGTAGGAAGCTGGGGTCTAGGTTTCAGTACAAGAGGCGTTAAAGAAATGAATGGCCCATGTTAGATCATCCTCCATCCCAAGTCATATTTTTCAAACTAGTAGGCACAAACATTGTGCATTCTCTGAAAATGGGCACATGAAACATAGGAAAGAGAGTTCAATAACTGCTTGCATTCATCAAAGAGCAGGACCTGCAACTGAAATATCTTCCTCATCATAATTCACAGCGGCTACTGAAACCAGATAATCACATTGTTAAAATGCATAGCAGAAGCTACAATATGCAACCCTGCACGGTCTCTGGATCACCACCCCTATACCAGAACATTTAGTTCTCGAATTCAAAAATGTCGTCGACATTTATTTTGAATAAATGCTCCGGTGGAGGTTTCCATTGAACATATTGAACCACCCTTGAAGTTTGCATCAACTACTTTTCCCCATAAGTTAAGAATAGCAAGCGACCTCCACCCTCCCTTAGCAAGCATAGCAAGATTGAAAGCTTGGAGAGACTTGAAACCCAAACCACTCCTTCCACCCTTGTAACTTCTTCCAAACCCTTTCATAAAATTGATCTAAAACCTTTCCATTAATCTCATATTTTTTTTTTGGTTAGTGAGATTTTATTACCAAAAACAGATAAGTACATCAACAAAGCAGGCATACCTTCCATTACATGAGGAGAAAACTCAACTAAATTCAATCAAAATGAATATAATAGTTAATGCTCAAAAACATGTAAGGGGACATTCCAATTACTACAAATTGAGATATTAAAAGCGCAAGGCTTGACTCCATGAAACTGAGATGATTTAATCCTGATATCATATTTGATTTGTTGCTAAACTTGGTCTGGGATGCATTACAAGCCTCTAAAAATTCTTTGGTTTCTTTCCTGCCATATGTAATAGCAGACCAAGCAAGCTTCCTAACAGTGTTCTGGAAGTTTTTCCTGTAAGTTTACCAACTAACCAACTGAGTTCAGCTTGCCAAGATGGCACTCACTGGTCCGGAAGTTTTTCCCACCAAAAACCCTCCGTTAAGCTTTCCCCACCATAGTCGGTTACCCCAAATACCTCTCAGGACATTGCACCACTGGAACCCCAAAAAGCTGCTTCAAGTGATCCCCCAACAGCATCATTTGGACTAAAAGAGAACTGATTTCTCATAATTAATCAGCTAACAAGAGGCTTGTTCATATGCAGATATATTTTTTTGTTTTTAATTTTGAAATTAAGTCCTTCCTCCATAGTATCCCTCCCAAAAAGCAAGTTATCATCTGCATAAAAAAATATGATGAGATACACTATGATTTCCCTGAGCAACCTGAAGACCATGTATCACATCCTCTTGTATACCTCTGGAAAGCATAGATGAAAAGACGATCTCCCTAGCTAAGACATCTTGAGGGATGAATACAATCCTTTGTTTCACCATTAATAAGAACTAAGTATGCAAGGAGGAGAGTGTTGATAAGTTCTCTGAAACTCAATTTAGAGATCCATTCTTGCAATGATCTTACCTTTGGAATCTTCTATAACTCTTATCTATGCCAAAATTGAGAATTCTTCTATGAATTGGTCAATTGGAAGTTAAGAAGACACTAGTTACTCTCATTGCCTCAATTTTCCTATGCTCCCTTATTCAAATTTACAACCATTTAAGTCACAGGATGAGACAGTTGAGAAAATCTTCTATGTTCCATGTGAACAAACTCAAAAGTCACCACTATCACTTTCCAAAGGTGATGTTTGCTTACGGTTACATTTTAGGAGGGGTAACCTAACCTGGAAATGGTGAATTTTATGAACCAATTTAAAGTTTGGTATGTACCCCTGTCCAAATACATGATCCTATTATTTGTCACTGTGTAAACAAAGTAAGTTAATTATGAGCCGTGATTTCCTTTTATTTTCAGTTACACTTTCTAAGAAAGAGTTGTATTTAACAATAAATAAAGATAAATTACACTAGTTAGCATTGGCTTTTGTCAGAAAAGAAAAAAAGAAAAAATTACTCGTGTTCTCATTTTTGGGAACACAAGCAGCAGATAGATTGGGGCAGTGACAACGAAAAATACTAGAATTTTTTTGTTCAATAGTTTTGACAGGCAAAGAGAGTCAGGAGAAATAGTGGATGAGGTTCTTAAAATTACATAAAGAGAACAAGGGAACATGACTTAACATATTCAAAATGCAACATATAGGAATGTGATAGAGAATAATGATTGTTCAGGCAGAAGAGGTTCTTTGTCCAACTGTTTTCTGAAACCAAACAATACATGAGAAGCAAAATACTATAGTAGTACCCTACTCGCAACCCAAAAAACAAAGAACACAGAAAATTGCATTATAAGTAGAAGAGATTTCTAAAACTAATGAAGAAGATAAGACTGGTTTTATGCACTGTAGTTTTACAATGCTAGTAAGTCGTCCTACTGCTGAAGCGAACCAGGATATGTCGCTCATTCCAGATCTCTGGTATTCAGCTCAAGTACTTTTGTCCGATACTTCAAAATTAATAAAAAATTAATTAAAAAGTATCTGATACTTTTAAGAAGTATCCGATACGTATCCGCGAGTATCCGAGGAGTAACAGTATCCGATAAGTATCCGATACGGATACGTCACCCTTTTTGAAGTATCCGTGCTTCATAGACAAATAGAGTTGAGGATAATGCTACTAAGACCATAAATTTAATTTCTAACTATCATTGTTTCTGCAACTAAATAGAACAGGCTTGAAGATTTCATAGTTTGCACTACCACAACAGTTTAGATCTTGTAACAGACACCAGAAAATTCTTGTAGAATGACCTGAGCCATAATATTGATTTCCAATTCTGCTGTGCTAAGTGATCTTGTCACTTCAAATATTGATGAAGACATTTATTGCTTTATCAATTTATTTTATTTTGTGATGAAAGATACGAACTCACATTCTAAGTCCACTATTTGATGAACCACAAACCAAAATTTTTAAACATTTCTGTATATTGCAATTTTCTCAGACCATTCAATTATGAACATTATATATATATATATATTTAAATACTTAAGGGTTTACCCATAGCTCAAAAACTACTTAAACCAAGGAAAAACGAGATTGTGTTTACTTGAGGCATGTAATATCTGCTGGAAGAAAGAAGTAGAGCACAGATCATACATCATAGAATTCTGAACATAAGGATTATGTTAGATAACCATGATGATTATTACTTTAAAAAAACATACTGCACAACATACTAAAGTTTTAGAACAAGCACCAACTGCCATTTGGGAGGGCAAAATATTCATTGTTTTCACACTAAGAAACTTATTCATAAGAAATGATTGAGACAAAGTTCTACAAAAATACATATCTGCTCCAACATGTTACACATACTAAAACAGGGGATATACTTTCAACGAATTGATGAGTATGGTTATAAGGACAAGGGTTAAGAATCAAATCAAGACGGCCACCTTGGGGCAAACTATCACAAAGCACCTTCAATGTCTTGCACTTGCGATTGTAATAAATAAATTTGCCACGAATTCCTAACACCAGTGCAAAATCATTTTTGTTTACTCCCTCCTTCGCAATACATAGAACATGAAATTTGCAGCCTCTTCTTGTGTCATGTATCTGAGGGAATACAGAAATTAAGGGTTCAAGATTGACGTGGCACTTGACAATCAAACACAAGGAATCCCTTTCCATCTGAAGGATTCTGAATCCCATAGCAGAGCACAAGAACCTAAACTTGTCTAGAGAAAGAATTTTAGGCCTTGCAGGACTAGGGGGTTTTATCAGCTTCTCTGCATCAACCTCAAACCTACTGTGAAATCCACCCCATCACTCAGCCAATGGATTGCTCCATTCCAAAAAACCCCTTCAACACCTAGTGGTTCACTGACATCAATCTGTTTCCAAGACGCACTTTCCGAAGAGTATATATCTAAATGATTACCCAACCGATAACAATAATGCAAACAATTATGCAAAACAACTTTGTAGTGAGGTGATTTTGAAGGATCAAAAGCCAAGTATAGCCCCGATGGTTGATATGAACGACGATCAAGTTGAGGAAGTAGAGTGAATTTCTGGGTGGTCGGATTACAAACAATGTAACTTTTTGTATAATGATTACCAACAACAAATCCATCCTTCTCACACAACAGTAAGCCATTGCAAGAGTTTTTAATCCTAAACGGATAATCTCCTCCAACAGAATCGAGGAAGGAGAGCGTGGGAAGATTGCGATTTGGGTGGCCGTGAAGTGATAATCCAGAGATCATAAAGGAAGAAGAACCGATGATCGTCTTTGTTCTTTCGCCGGATACTTTCTTCGCCATTATCGCCTGGGCACAGATTCCGATTACAGGGAATTAGGGATCGTATATACATAGGAGGAAGTATAGGAATCAAAATATGAGTAAATATGAGTAAATTACTCATGGAAACCCGCCGGGAAACTCGAATGGTGGTACCATTTACCCATGAAAATCATATAATTTTATTTATTTTTTTTAGTTATAATTAAAATAAAAATTTAACTTTTATGATACATAATTTAAATAATATTATAATAAAAAAATTAATCATAATTAAATAAAAAAAAATAACTTAAGTGAAGGGCATATAATTCACTCTTTTAAGAGTATCTATATTCACTCTTTTAAGAGTATCTATATTAGAATTTCCCCACCTGCAACAAATTTAGCAAAAAACACTACTGCCAAAATACATAAGAAGACTACAGTACATATCTTTAAGGCCCGTCTGTTTAGGGAATTAGAGGAGGAGATTGAGATTGGTAGTGAGGTGGGACCTATTAATATTGCGTTTGTTTTGAGAGATGGGTAGGAGATTGATAGTGAACTCCGGATTAGGATGGGCCTCCCAAGGGGATTCGGATGGGCCTTCAGGGCTTAGTATTAGAAAAATAGTTCGACGGACTAGAAATTTTTTATTTTTATTTATTTTTTATTTTATTTTTTACATGTCGGACATTTTTTTTTGAACATTAATGTCTAATTTTTTATATTTTTTGTTAAGTAAAAATCATTATTTTATTTGTTTTATTTTTTTCTAGAAATTTTTATTTTATTTTTATTTTTTTAAAATTTTTTACATGTTTGGTATTTTTTTTAAAACATTAATGTTTATTTTTTTTTGTATTTTTTTTATTATTTTATATAAAAATAATTTGACAATCCCTACACTAACAGCTATCATCAAAACAAACACAATTTTACTTAATTCCCTCACTATTAATCCCCTCGCTAACATTCCCCTCACTATTAATCCCATCACTATCAATCCCCTCCGTTCTATCTCTGAAAACAAACGGGACCTAAAGGTGTGAATCATATACATTTTATAACTAAGGAAAAAATAATATAATTTCATAATTTTTGAATTATAACTATAAAAAATAAAATAAAAATTATAACCAAACATAATTAAAATTCTCATGAGTTACGACTAAAAATGTCATAACTAAAGAAAAAAAATTAATAATAACTACAAATAATAACATAATTAGAAATGTATATGATGCATCCCTTTTAAAGAGTGTGTATAGTAAAATTTTCAATATGTAATATTTAGGGGTGTAAAAATGGCCCGCGGCCCTGAATGGGTCATGCCCGGTTAGGTTCAAGCCCCGCTCGTGATCCTGGGTAGTCATTTTGAAGACCGACTCTAGGCCCACTCAAAGCCTAGCTTGGGCCCGGTTCGCTCGGCCCACTCAAGGTCCAGTTTTCATTTTTAGTGGAAAACAATAAAATTTTAGTGAAAAAAGTAGAAATTTTTTTTTTTAAAAATGTTCAGGCTGGTCTGGTCAAGGCCTGAATATCCTTGGGCCTAGGCCTAATTTTCTGCCCCGTAAGCCAACCCGGCCTAACCTGATCCGAAATTTGGTTGGAGCTTGGACAGCCCAATATGGGCTATCCCGAGCCTGAGCCCAATTTACACCACTAATAATATTATTTGAGCCAGCCCGAGCCTGGGTCCAGGCCCAGGTGGACTGGATCCAATTTACACCCCTATTAATATTATTGCACCATAACTTACCACACTGACCAATAGGCCCTAAGAGAAGCCACAAAAAGCACTAGAAGACCATAAGCTTTCCTAAGTAGGTATGGAGATACATGTGTCTAAGGCACAACAGTTACTGCTGCTCCTCAAATGACTACGTTTTGCTGAGGCTTTGACTTTTTCTCTTGGTGTCTTGTATTATGCTTTCTAAGGTTTGAGTAGCCATTCCCTAATAGTTTTGTGCACTTGAACGATCTATCCATGCACTACAAATTTACCTTTATCAATTCATAAATTAATTTTCATCACACTTCATATAAATTTGACACTACACAAATTAATCTCTACCATACACTCATCCAAAATTTTTTGGGTAGATAAAGATGGGTCTCTAGACTTTTCCTTCCTTTATTGCACTTATATAATATTTAGGATAAATTACACTCTCTTAAAATTTGGAGAAAACACAATATAATCTATAAATTTGTATAATTACACTAAGTGTTCTTAAGATTTTAATTTATATAATATTCGTCTCTCCTTTCATCAAAAATTCATTAATCATATGAATAAAAAAAATAATATTGCCATCTCTTTTACACTGAATTATATATTTTAGATTGTGCATCGTTGCGTCCAATGATGGATGTAGAGGGATGCAGGCAGGGAGTTATAGCGATTCCGGTTTTGACCCGACCCTTGTTGTAATCTGGACACGGGTTTATTGATTTCGTACTGTTGAATATGTCTTGCTTATCTTCCTTTCCCTTAAACTTGGCTATGGGATTGTTGTGATTGTGTTTGGGACAGGTGGTTGTTTGGTTTCCCAACTCTTATTGTCCAAAATTTTGCTCTTCCACTCGAGCAACACTTCATGCGCTCGATCAGACTTTGCAAACTCTTAGTACTTTTGTACATCTACAAAACTACCGGGAAAGTGTATTCTACGATCGGGCGGGTGTGCGCTCGAGCGGCCATTCTTGTGCTCGAGCGATGTTCTTCTGTCTGCAAAACTACTGGATGTGTGTATTCTGCGCTCGAGCGGAACAAATTGTTGTGTCTGACGCTCGAGTGTCAACTCTTACGCTCGAGCGGACTCTGTGTATATCAGTTCACAGTAGCCTTCTTTTACATCTCTTTCTCTCTTAAAACCCTAGATCTAGAGCTCCTCTCTCTAAAACTTACTCTCTCTCTACTTTTTCACCTATATTTAGTGGTTTCTCCATCATACTCTCTTTGATAAAGAAAGATAGAGCATTTGGAGGGCTACATTCTCATTCAAATAGAGTTGGATCTCGGCATATTTGAAGTGTCTCCATTTTCTCTTTCGGCTTTTAAACTTGAGGTAAGGATTTTCTCCACTCTCCTATAAGTTTTAACTTGGTTATTTGTTGTTATGTAAGAAATATTGAAACGTGAAAATGATGTTGAGCAAACCTAAGGTTTGGGATGTGAAATTAAATCAGGGGTTTTGTAATGAAAATACAAAAAAGAAAAAAAAAAGAAAAAAAAAAAGATGATTATGGGAATAGGGATGGGGTGTGTTATAAGAATTTTAGTAATTTGGTACTTGGGAGGAATTTTGGACAGAAATGGGGTTTTGCCCTAAAACTCCTTAAATAATTATTTTGCACAAATAATAAAATTGGTATTGGAAACATGAAATTGGATGAATGTTTATATGAATGGTGGAGTTAAATACGTATTACCTCTCACCTATGGAAATTTGGGTAAGTTATCTGTCCTTGAGATTGTATATCTGTTTAGAAATATCTATTTTGAGCTATCAGTGGAGGATAGTCATGATTGTTGTAGAAATTGCATGTGGATTAGGTAAATTGAAACTAATCTCTTAGCCATTATCATTGAATATGATAAGATTTATATACATTGTACATGTATAATGTTTGGAAGGAGAAAGGGGATAGACTCCATTGAACAAAGTTAGCCTATGTATCTAGGGTGAAAGTCCCGAAAACCACGCATATACATGGGTGCTGATTCCCGCGGAAGAAATTTTTTGTAAAATGACAAGTGAATGTATTTTGTATGATAATTATATTAGTTGGAGACCTATGGGGTGTATCCTCCGTTTAGTTGATTAGATAAAGTGGGTATAGCTAATGGATTGAGATGTAAGTTTGATATAACATGGTCTTGGAAAAAGGTTATAAGAGATTTGTCATTTGGGCATTGAATATGTGCATTATACTTATATCTTTGTTAATATTTATATATTGTATCAGATTGTTTCTACTAGGCTTTGGCTCACCCTCCTATAAAAAACCATTTTCAAGTGCTAGTGACATGCTTCTGCCAAGACAGTAGCTTGGAGAGACTTGGAGCAAGGGCTTATTTTTGTTGCGTTTGATTTGTATAGCCAAGGGCTTTAACTGTATTGAGCTAGACTCATTTTGTTATAACCAATTAATGAATTGGAAAGATGTAAGCCATTAGGGTATTTAATTATCTGTTTAACTTTCATCTTTTGATTACTAGTGACACATGATGCAGATTCAGGATAGGACATTTATGAATGTATATCGCATATATTACCTTTTGTATATTAACTCTGATGAATGAAAGTATGTTGTTTCAATTCTATTTTTGTAAACGAGATGGGTTTGTCATAATTATTTTTGGGACGTTACAACTTGGTATCAGATTCTACCGGGTTTGAATACTTTGGGTACATAGGAAGTGGTTAGTACCACAATAGGTTATCTCGCTTGCTAGACACTTTAATGTGAGCGATGTGTGCTTATATAATAACATGCTTATGTGATTATATGGGTATGAGATTTAATTTCTGGGATGTTGATTGAATCTACAGGTTTCTGGAAGTCTTATTAAAAGAGCACTTGATCACTGATGTTTCGAATTGGAACTCTGGCAACGCCGCGGGACATTCATTGTTCGGGAATGAAATTCGTATGCATTTACGTGACTACGTGTGTATATGGAATGAATTACTGTTGTCCATCGCTTTAGGATACAAGTGAGTTAGCTTCGTCACATCTATAAATGTGCTAATCTCTTTTGTTACCTTCATTAGAATGTCAGGACGTGAACATGGTGGTGGTAGGCATGGTAGGCTTAGAAGGCATGAAGTGCCTTTACCAGAGGATATTCCGGTGTAGGAAGAAGGGGTTGGTCAGGCCAATGTAGCCGAACTAGTTGGTCAACAGGCCAATGTGGCTGAACCAGTTGGTCAACAGGCCATGGGCGCTTTAGCCCATGAAATGACTGGAGCATTGAGGGAATCTATGGACATTCTCAGGGCTGAGAATCAAGTCCAGACCCAAGTAGT